AATTTGTTTAAAATAGAGACAACTTCTGTAAAAACCTGCATAAGAACTAATTCAAATTATAACTACGTTTTGCAAAGTTTCAGCTATTTATATAAAACAGTCTATTGACCGTATCGGAACAATTAAAAATCAAGAGATTTTAAGAGTAAAACATTTGGAAAATATATGAAAGAATATCATCCTGCTTACTCTAGGAGATAAGACATAAATACATTTAGATAAAAAAACGTCACTAAAGTAATATACATCTAAAATCCCACCAAAATACGAAAACATATCTATATGTGAAGCTGCTTTGAAGCCTTTCCTAATTCAATAGTATGGATGTTGAAACAAACATACTAATTAGATGATGATCTCTGTTGGTTGGTGTACAACAATTACTTAGAATTTAGTAAGTGATTACATATCTTTAAATTATGACAGATGGTGTTATGCAATAATTATTCAACAAGCCAATATATTAGTAAAATAAAGAAAAATTGAATTTTTAACTTATAATTCACATTAACATTCAACACTACATTTGTTAAAATAGACTTTCAAAACAAATCCTTACTTGATCAATGTCGTAGCACCTACAATACAAAATATAGTGAAGATAATTGGCGTCACTTTCATTTTAACGTAAGATATTCAATTTCAATTATAATAATTCACATATTCATGCATTATCTTATATAGTGATTCAAGAATAGTATATTGTGTCAATGACCCCATTATTTAGACCTATCCAACGTTAAATATTTCATCATTCTACATAATTTGATATATGTCTATAAGTGTAATAAGAATTTGTTTACTTTAAAGTGCTGAATGTTCAGTATAACATAAACGTTTTTTGGTGGAGGGGGAGTTTATATTATTCAATAGATGAATTTAATAGTCGGTTACTTTGTAATATGACCTCATTAATGTTACATCGGTTAAATTGTTTATTAAAAATAGAGTTTAAACTAACTTTCCCTTCACATAATCAAAGTTTATTAATAAAAGTAACTTAATAATATGTAAACAGATATGTAAAGAACCATTGAGATAACTCAATATAGATATAAACTAATTAGCTGGTTCCATTTTGAGGATTCGAAAAAGCGATCATAATAATATTGGTACAGACGTTATTCAATTCATCTATAAAGCTTCTTTTTAATGAATAATATATAAAACCTAATTCAATACATTAAAACGAATGATTAAGCCAAATGCAATGGCATAATTCGTCAATTCGTTTATAACATCTGTATGTTGTGATGTATGTAAGTGAGTTCCGAAAGTTATTATGATCTAGTCATCAGAAACATATACTCCACAAACAATAGTGATTTTAGTTAGCACAGGAATTTACTTAAAAACTAGGAGACTAAATCTGTTATTCTGAAACATTATAGTACTTAACTATAAGTAGCCGTTTTAGTTTCTGACGTAGAATTGGCTCAAATTCGGTAGAGAAACGTAGAAAAAACCAGTAGACAACTTATCAGTCTTTGATGTAACAAATGTTTAATGAAAGTGTTCAATGACAATAATTTGTCAATTACTGTTGCAATATGTACAAATATGAGCGATAGAGATATTCAATATGTATAATTAGTGATTCTGAAGACATATGAACTCATTTTATCAGTTATCTAGTCGATAGTCCCTTCAAACTTTGTGCTGGTATATTACTATTCTCAACATCAAAGCTTTCATCCCTAAAATAATAGACTTCAATCGATATAAATTTTATGTACAAAGACTTTGAATTCATTAAGATTTAAGCCAATACTTCTTACTTTGTTTAAAGTATAGTGTAAAGGAAATTGTATGAATGAATTTGTAACGTAATAGTCCCAGCAGAAGGTCGTAAACTTTTCATAAACACGCCTAAATATGTTTTATGTAATTTATAGATAAAATGATGTGTTAAAACAAATAAAATACGGGTAACTTGTTGAGATGTGTTGATATCAGGAACAGGTAGCTCAATATTCAAACAGGCCGCCATCATGACGTAATCGGTTAGGCATTTAATTGCTAGATTAATTTTCTTGATTGATCACATATATTTCGCCGTTCAGTTAAGTAATAGCTGTAAACTAAACACGTAATTTGTAGGTATTATTGTAGTGAAGGAGAACACAGGTGAGGACAACCGAATTATATTTAGCATAAAATTACAGTTACTTGGTAAAATAGAAAAACCATACTATAATACTTAATTTGCAAAATGTTCAATAATTGTCTCGAACTTCATTGTTCCTGCATTTCCATACTAATTGCTTTCTATTCCCGCTTTTCCTTTCTTGATCTTCCCCATCTTCTTCTGCCAGACATTACATTCCCGAAGCGCGATATACTACTTATATCAATATAAGTAGCACGTACCACATCATTACCAAGGTTAGACTTGATAATTTCGAATAAATTGGGCATTGGGTAGATTGTTATAATTAAATAAAATATTTGTAATATCTTAATGAGTAGAAAAATTAGATTTATTTATTCTCTGAAGAAGTGGCTTACACTAAGTCACTAAACGTCAGGAAATCTAATTTTTTACTCATTGGGATATTACAAATATATTGTTTATTTATAAACATGTAATTCATCGAGTTCCAGGATTTCTCAATAAACAACCAACCGATTACTTTTTTACTGTTAAGATAAAATTAATTGACATGTACAAAAGATACGTTTCATGGTTTTCGATGGTTATTTATTTATTTATTTGAACACATAAATATTGGTACAAAGGGGCACCGAATATGTAGGCGTCACACAAGTCACTTGATTGGTGTGTGGACTATGATACTGCAAGGGTGCCCAAACCAAAGCAGGTGGTTTTCTTAGGGGGCTACATCTGTAGCCATTGACCTACATGTCCAATCCACACGGCAGAGGAGCATCGTCAGGAGATGCAGTCCCATGGTAGTCTGTGACCAACAACTGGTTCATACGCCATTCGTGCCTTCAGGATCCTGAAGCCCATGTGCATCATTAGCTTGGAATCAGGATTTTTCAACTACCCTAGGTGGATCCTCCATGTCCACCAACCGACCCGGTTAAAGCGCCGAATATTTGTTTTTTGTCCTCTCGATTTCGTAAATAACATCCTCGCAGTGAGTAGAACTTCCCTGGTAGTGGCTGTATACGCGCGGATATGTGAAAGCATTTCGAGAGGGAGAGCTGACTCTTCCCACCCTCGGCCGTACCAGAGAATTTGGAGGTAATTTAACATCAATCGGTTCACGATCTGAATAAAAAAATTAACGATCTCCACAACTTTTCACTGATAATAATCATCATGTGCTCACTGGTGATTGACTCCTATGTAATTTCCTGATATTCTAGTGAGGAACCGTGACCAGTGAAGTTCAATCCGTGTAGGGTAGAGACAGGTATCTACCTCAGACAATGGATGAATGATTGGGCAGCCATTCATGGATCGACGGAAGTTAAACGTCCACACCGTTGAATGTCAGCTCAGTGTTCTAGAGTTTAGGCGCCCGCGTGCGGGACTGAAGGTCTTGGGTTTGAATCATGCGTGAAGAATTCGAGTTTCGTTGACGAATACTACTAAGGTGACTTTCTATTTTGAATTAATTAAGCTGAATACAAAATAAATAATCACTGTTTTTGTTCACTAAGCAACTATTGAACGAAGTTGAATTATTTCTCATATAAAATAAAATTTAACTCTAATTGAATTATCATCTGATCCATATTCTAATAAACATTCATATGAATTTTAAAACCACATTTGTATCGATTTTGTTGAAAACATTGTAAAACGTTCTTACAAAATAATCTTTGTAATAAATTCCAAGTTTTCAAGCTTCCAAATTGTAGTAATGATATAATGGAACCGTTGTTCTTTCTCATCTTGACCATCAGAACAAATCAAAACTACTTAAAACATGGCTTTGTTTGAACACAAGTTTTCTAGATATTTCTGGGTTTCTTTCATTCTCCTATTTAAACAAAATCTAAGTGATTGTAATACTCATATGCTTGTCCTTACGCAGTTTCCACTAAGGTCACTTAATCTTAAATTATTTTGCTGATCCTACTGTACATTACCTCGTCCTGCTTAGTGCAACTGATTAGTTAGTTTCGAGCAATTGTTTTTATAATCACTAGTAAAAGTATAATACTATTATGAAGCAGTTCTACGCAATTAGTATCACTCAATTATTATTACAAATAATAAATATAATATTAGTATAGAACCTTCAAGAAAATTTTCTTAGCTCTGTTCACACTTCTGGGAAATGTCTGAATGGGAACAAGACAGATAGTTCTTCAGTTAGTACTCATTAGTGGTAGAAAGTATGTTTAAACCGAACAAGCCATCGAAAACCACACTACTGAATAATGAACAATATTCTCCATTTAGAGAACATCGATAGACTGTTTAACAATAAATCAAACTAATTTAATCATTAGATATTTTATAAACTATTTTCAAGTTAATGCTTTGAAACTATTTGTTGAAAGTTTCCAGTTGTCCTGAATAGATATGTTACGACTGTATACTGCACAATAGGACGAAACTGTTGTCCATTGCTTCCAAGTTTTCAGTGGTGGTCTAACAATAATCGGTTCATGATCTCAATCAAAAACTTAATAATCTCTACAACCGCATACCGATACGACTGATTTATTTAGATCTGATCCTAAAAATGGTTGTTTTTTTCGATGTATTGAGAATCATTTATTTATCATGTAATAACGATCCTTTAGAGTACTACTTTTTTCTTGTTAGATTTAAAAATAAATCTCTTTACTCAATTGGAGGTGCGACGTTTAAAGTGATTGTGTTGATATTTACTTAGGACTTATTTATTGCAAAAAACACACACACACACACACACCCAATGACAACTTATTTAATCTCCCTTTTTAAATAGAACCATTTATAATTAAAACAGTGTAACTAAAACTTTTATTAATGATCACCATAAATGAAATTCATTTTTTATTTTTTATAAATCAAAAAGGAAAATCAGTTTTTTTCCCAAAGTTCAGATTAGTTCATCTGTTCATGACTTATGCAGACAATAAAAGAAAGAAAACATTATCTGCCTGCCAGATTTTGCATCATCATGGAGAATTCGGTCCATTTATTTGGTTATCAATAATACCAATAACTGGAAAATATACAAAAACAAATATTTTTTCTTTAATAAATAACCAAATCAAAATTAATTCAAGTTTAAATAGTACAACGGAACAACATGAATACTATGTGCGATCAATTGTTATTTATTCTCTGAAGAAGTAGCTTACAATAAGTTACGAAACGTCAGAAAATCTAATTTTCTTTCTACTTATTGGGATATTACAAATATATTAATTTATTTATAACAATCTAATCAATTCTCAGTTTATTCGAAATTATCAAATCAAACCTTGGTAATGATACTTATTAAATAATAATAATAATTATTATTATTATTACTGCACCCCTCCTTTACTTATGTCTCATATTCTCATTATTTTATTCATATGTGCTCATCATATCACTTTATTTGTTTTCTACACTTCTATGATCATTAATGACCTTTAATTATTGTAACAAAAACATTTTAATCATCTTATTACATGCGCGTTATAATTCGTTACTAACGTACTAAGTCTATTGTTATTATTCGTATCACGTAATCTAGTATTACAATCTTTCTATTACGTTATCTTGGTCATTCGTGCTCACATTTCCTCACGGAATTAATACTTTAACAAAAACATATATATATATATATATATATATTTAGAGAGAGAGAGAAGTCCATTCGCTGAACGGTTGGGAAAGCTCCCGAGAACTACGACGGGGCCTCCATAGGCCCTAGAAGAGTCAAAAAATTTCATCGAATCAGAACGTAGTGGAGCTTTCTGGAGTATGAGCGTGCTACTAATGGGCAGTAGCATAATATACCTCCTTGCGGATGGGTTGAATGATAATGTTGATTTAACAAATGTTAATATCTATAATTACTCATGATTTTCTATACAATTAGATTCTTGCCCAATAAGCAATTTCTTCAGTCTTCTCCTGTTTTTTTCATATGCAACTTGAGAGGGTTCTAGAGTTCGATTGCTCAAGTTATACTCGTTATATTAAGAATCTAAGCTCTAGACATAACAAATTTCGTGTTTTGTTTTAATTTTTTTAATTTTCAAATATATTTTCATTTAACATTATTTCTTATAAACAACCATAGAAAACTAAGAAAAAAAAGGTAAAACCAATTTAAGTAACTTACCTGTAGCTATAAGCGAATGTAATTTTTGTTCCAAGTTATCTGTTTCTAATATTGACTCAGTGATAGTTTGATTTTGTCCAGAAGACTGAATAATTAATTGTTGTATTCTCTTTATCGTTTTCATTACACAATCCATATTCTATTTCGTTTTTTAATTTAAAAAAAAGAGAGAAAACAATTAAATTATGTTTAGAATTTAATTTTGTTTGTAGGTTACCTCATGAGACTGATCACTTAATTGAGTTGGAATTTCTCTAAAATAAAAAGGAAAAAGAAAAATTATTATAATGATCACGAGAATATGAGTTGAAAAATGGTAAACGCATTTACATATATACTATTGATTCTCAATGTAATCATATAATAATTAGGTATATAATTTCAATGGTTGAGATCATGAGTCAATCGAAGCTAAACCACCATGGAAAACGTGGAAACACTGAACGGCCGTCGTGGATGTGCACTGCTCAGGAGTCCCACAATAGGACGGAACGGTCGTCCAGTGCTTCCAGGTTTTCCATGGTGGTCCAGCTTCGAATGATTCATGATTTGAACCATTAAAGTTAGAATGTTGCTGGATAAAATATGAAAGAACAGCAAAGGTTTTAGTCCAGGTGAATGCTGAAACAGACACATTTATTGAAAGCTCGTATAGCATCGTCAAAACCTGAAACGTGGTAGTCAAAATGGTAATATATACAAAATGTTTTAGTCCTATCAATGGACTAGCTTAATAATAAGCTAATACGTGATGGCTGCAGATCAGCTGAAGACCAATTTTTAGCGTGTTAACTAAATGAGGATAGTTGAACAGTAAAAAGTTGTAATCTATATGCTTTAAACAGAGTTCAAATTTCAGTAGGGAAATCATAATCACTTACATTTCGATCCATACCACAGAAGTATAGTGACTTAACGAAGTATAATTTTGAACGCAGGGAATGCAATTTTTATATTTTTTTATTTTGCATCAGAGTATTTGATTGATTATGAAATGGGGTGCTAGTTCTATTCACTAAGTTTTTCTTTTCTTCAAACATATTTTCAGGCTTGATATAGTGAATAGGCTTGCACTGTTATTATTCAGTGTGATAAGTTGCTAAATATGGTAATTTGATTTTCCTGTTTTTCAAGATGCACAATATGAATCGCCTTATAACGTCTTGAACACCACTGTTAAACAGAATCTTACATGTCTGCAACAATTATTCCCTCGACTGTCGCTTTTACATTGACGTGGTGATTGGGCTTGCCTATCACGATGAACCGATGGAGCTATACCGGTTTAAACAATCGTTTCTCAAGATCCTACCATGCCAGACAGGTCGGTTGAAGAGCGGTAAGACTAAAAGCAACCAACCCAGGGTTCGAGGGAGAAGTCGTACTGCTGATTGAACAAAGGTGTGACGACAATAAATTGTTCCCTTCAGACAATCAGCATAATAGTGATGCTGCCTTCCCACAGAGAAGGGTGGAGTTAAAAATGGTCGGCCCTAAAAATGCACACTTCGACTTAACAAGTACGGAGCTATTACGAAGACAACTCATATAAAAAGTTGTGTGTGACCGACTTTAAGCAGTTGTCCTTTGGGCACTGCGATCACACTCTCACGTCACTATGATCACCTCTAATCTAATTTCCTCTTCAGGTACCTCCAGAACAACCCTCCCACGGTGTGGGCAACCGGGAAGTGATAACAGCCCTCATAACTCTAACAGCACTCAAGACCACTGTATTCATAATCAACTTCCGTCTCCACTTCCTATCATTCCTCTTACATCGACTTTCAACTCCAAACTTCCTCTTTTGACTTCCTCCTCAAGTGTCACCATAGCCAACGATTCTAGTGCTCGAAACACTGCCCGGGTCTACTGAAACGTCGCTCCAAACTACACATTAGAGCCTTCAACGTACACACCCTAAGTCAAATCGACCAACAGGCCTCCTTGGCTAAAACCGTTGAATCTCGTACCATTGATGTTACTTTGCATTTTTTTCTGTCAATTTTAAATGTTATAACTCAATGGTTCCACTACGAGTAGCTGTAAACGTTCATCAACAGTTTAAAATAATACCGAAAATTACATAACAAGAATCATTTTTACGTGCTCAATCAAAGTTTGTTTGTTTTTAGAAAAAGAAACAACTAAACAAGCTATAAGATTGAACCATTTCAATGAAAAGTAAAAAAATAAAACAATGCTCAGCTCACTTTGATAAATCGATATTCAAAAAGATCAGTAAAACTAATAACAGAATCAACTTCATTTTGTTGTTGTCGATCTTATTAGCTTTTCTCAAAACAAAACAAAAATTGTTTTCCTCAGATTGAAATGATATGAAATCTTTTGAACATATAGTAATTAATAAGTGAGTGCAACACTATCAGTTTTTTGAATGGTATCCAATTGAAAAGTGATTATGGTTAGTGAATTGTATAGAATATTTTTTTAAAAAAAATACAAAACACATACAGGTAGATAGAAAAAACAAACTTCATGTTTTCATTTTTAACAATTTGATTGTTATTATTATTATTGTTATTGTTAAATACTGTCAGAATATTACTGACCCCTATTAACAATCTGTATTTACTAATGCTATAATGAACGAGGACATACAAGTGCGGGATAATCGAATGTATTTGAACACAAAATTACTGGACATCTTAGTTAAAATCTGAGATCCATACAGTAAATACTTCATTTGAAAAATGTCAATCAATCGTCTTAGACTTTATTGTTCTTTCATTTCCACATCAACTGTTCTCTGTTCTCGTTCACTCTTTTTTCGATCTTCTTAACTTTCTGCCTCCACGTATTTCACTTGCGATTGATGATACATACTACTTATATTTGTCGATATCAGTAACACACATCACAATACTATTACTTACGGAAGCTACTGAATAAAATAAATCTATGTGTTGGAATTAGATCAGTTTCATCAGTCAGTTAGTCAGTTACAACGTAGGACCAGGTACATATATGCATCGGTTCAAGTTGCCATACATCATTAACACAACAAGATGAACGCCGGATTCATAAAAGTAGTTTCATACAAACTGATGAGATGACTTGAAATGTTTTTTTTCTACTTAGACAAACGCTTTATGTCTATGTTTGTTATATAGGATGATCGAAACTATGGTTCACTTATTTGTTATTTTGTATAATTGTGGTCGTGAATATATTGTGTAAAAATGAATCGTACGCTTTTTAATACTTATTTATTATAAAAGACAATTAAGATGGATAGTTATTATAATGGTTCATCGTTTTGGTTTTCTTTATAAAACGATTGATAATGATCTAAATGCTGCCTTCCGGTTTATTAGTTCTCTTTGTTGAATTTAATGAATTGAAAGTAACATTTAAAGACAAATGTTAAATCTTAGGATTTAATTCGAAATAAACATCATGCAAAAATGAAAGAAGCGTAAAAGCTAAGTATTTTCTGTAAGTCTTGGCACTATTTAGTAACTAATAAATAATGATAGTCTTATTTAATGAATTATCATTACTGTCTGAAGAAAAAGAGAACACTAATTTGTTCAGTTGCTTACTTAGTGAATAGAATAATGATAAATTGTATTCGTAAAGTATATCATAATAAACACCTTTAGGGTTATTTCTGAAGATCAACGAATAATCGTTGACTTACTCTGAGTAAATTCAGTTGTGAGATAGTAACTCACTTAAGACAATGGTGGATGTGTCCCTCAATTTCATGGATTAGTTGGAGTTAGATGTAGTGTCAGTTATTATGTTATGCCCTTATACCTTATTCCAGCTTTCGAACATGTCAATCTATTCATTCTACTTGAGCCATATTTTGACATTGTTAGTTACTGGCTTATCAATCTTGACTGTTTTTATATGAGCGTATATGGGTGTACACTTCTTATCCTATTCATCACACGTCGGTAGCCTATTATTGTGTGATTATGAATATTGATTAACGTTCGGTTAAATGGAGTTGGCTTACCCCCCATGTCCACTGCGTGTCGTTTCGCTTCGCTTTATTCCATTCACTTCATATACAAAATATAAGTAGTCAAATGTTCATTCTCGTTATTTGACCTATTTAATTACGTTATTGACTAACGCGACTTAAGTCGATGATTATATACGAGGATAGGCGACATATACATTTCTACAGCAATCAATCGATAACAATCATTCATACGATCTACTTCGAGTCAGATCTCGGGCCACTCAAGTGGACAGCCCGTCGACAACATTGTCTTATCTAAATGACGACAGAATAAAGGACCCCAGAAAATAGACATTAACACCATCAGATGTCGGCCCAGTGGTCTAGAGGTTATGCGTTCGCGCGTGGGACCGATAGGTCCTGGGTTCGAATCTCACCAGGCTGGATCATGGATGAGCACTGATGAGGAGTCCTGTAGTGGGACGAAACGGCCGTTCAGGTTTCTCCTGGTGGTCCAGTTTCAATTGACTCATGATCTCAACTGTTGAAATAAATATTTTAATAAAAATACTATCATGTACCTGAAGTTTATTTTATTGCAAAATATTCCAAAATCCTAATCAACTCTGGTCTCAAGAAAGTACTTTCTGAACCCTGATTATTACAATAATTTCACATTCGGTCCGTTTAACTCTCATGGTTTACATGATACTTGGAATTTTCATTCATAAATTGACTTAAAAATAAATTTCTAGATACCCGAATATAACTAAACCCACTTTTGTTATGCTATGTTAATTATTTAATTTTATAATCAGAGAGTGGTTTTACGGATATTATAGTAGTTTGATAAATAAATTCATGAGTCAATTAAAGCTAGATCACCACGGTAAATCTGCAAGCACTGGACGGGCGTTTCGTCCTATTGTGGGACTCCTCAGCAGTACCTATCCACGATCCCAGCTCGCGAGATTTGAACTTAAAACATGTTGGGCTCATGTGCGAACGCTTCACCTCTAGACCAATTATTCGGCATCCAAAGGTGTTAATGTCTAACTTCAACCAATCCACGAAATTGCGCCATCATCCACTATTGCTTTCAGTGTTATCCAGGTTTTCCATGATGGTCAGCTTCAAATGACTCATTAATTTCAACTATTAAATTTAATTTTATGTACAAATTCACTTATTTTAGGAAAGTTATTCACAGTTGATCCAGTGGTTAGAGATATTCATTATTAGAAAATTAAATGAACATCAGTCTGGGCTTATATTATTTGTTTCAAATAATCTAATATGTATTTTTGTAAAGAATTTCTTGATTTCAAAACGGTAACTTCGATTTATTAATCAGTTGAAGAATGAAGATACTCAATAAAATGAATCAGGGAGACTATAATTTATGGACGAACCAATCAGGTATAAGATGACAGGTCTTGGATTTTGGCGCGGATTTCACTCATTCATTCGGATAGAGTTTTGGCATTATAGCTGATGTCAGTTCGTGATGAAAATCCTAAATCTAATTTCCAACCTTAACCATAAACTGTAAATCATAATTCTAATTTTTCACATTGGTTTATAACCTTCATTTGATCCTGGTTATTATGTGGACACTCTTAAGGTTACTTCGGTGTCGCTCAAAGGTCGTCCATAAATTATAGTTTCACTAATGAATCATAATAAAATAAAAAAATGTCGTATGACAGTTAATGTATTTCTTAATGAATTAAGATGTGGATAATGATTTTAATTGAATCTAAGCTGTTCTATTTTAATAGTTGAATTCATGAGTCAATTAAAGCTAGATCATCATTGAAAACCTGGAAGCACTTGACGACCACTTCGTCTTATTGTGAGACTCCTCAGCAGTGCTTATCCACGGTCCCGCACGCAGGACTCGGACCCAGGTTCTTAGGTCTCGCGTGCGAACGCTTGACCTCTAGACCACTGAGCCGGCATCCAGTGGTGTTAGCGTCTAACTTCAAGTGATTCACGAAACTGAGCGACATATCCACGATTGTATTCACTGAGTTACTATCTCACAACAGACCTGGTTGAACTCCACTGGTCACTACTTCTCACTAGAACTCCAAGAAATACATCTTGAAGCCAGTCACTAGTGAGCATATGTTGATTAGTAACAGAAGGGATTTTATGGACATTATGGTAATTTTAATAGTTGAGATCATGAGTCAATTGAAGCTAAGCCACCATGGAAAATCTAGAGGTGAATTAGTGGTGCATATTTATTTATTTGAAGCGTAGGAGTCTCACAATAGGACGAAACGGCCGTCCGGTGCTTGCAGATTTCCCATGATTGTCTAGCTTCAATTGACTTATGATCTTAACTATTAAAATCACTATAATATCCATAAAACCCCTTCTAATATTTAGAATACAGTTGCGCTTTTTTATGTTACCCGTTTCTCTGATCATAAATAATCCCAATAAATTAATTAAGTAGCAAATTTTAGAAAAATCCTGATCATATATATTCATTTTCTGTATATCCTATTATTAACATTGTTTGTTTTAGCACAATACGTTTCTAAATATAACAACAACTTCACATTGAATCAAACTTAAAACCTTCTAGTCTTTAGACAAATACTTCACTGTCACTATTGGAGAGTCTTAAGTTAAAACAAGACATATATTCAGTTATCCTCTTATTTTAGATTTGGTTACTGCGGTAGATATCAGTCTGTTAAAAAAATACTATCTTCAAATTGAACAGTTCAAAATAGACTATCTGAATAAATCAATATATTTCTTCTTAGCTGTTTTAGAGCTTATTGTTGATAATGTTTCTTTAGGTAAATAATCCAGCAATAATTGGAATCTAGAACACATGTTTCATTTTAAAACCTTGCGACTAAAAAGTAATATACAGGCATTCTGCTGAAGATGTACATATGCCAAAAGTGGCTGGTCAGTTACAATTCTTCGCAAGTAAATGTAAACCTTTACAAATATTTGAAAAGCTACTTTTAAACCATTTTAATAAATTACCGAATAGATTTACTGTTTATCAATGTTTGATGGAATCACTGAAGCAGAAACAATTCATTCAACATCTTGTATTGTCGATATAGGCGACGATTGAAATACTCCATGAAACTGATTAATGTCAAAATAAAAATTGTCAAGACTAGATATTTTGTAAAAGATTATTTCAGTTATACTTTTCAGGTGGGAGTATACAAAAAACTATAGTTGTTGATGACATATCTTTCAATAGCACCTTATTAGCCACATACAGTACAATATTAAGTGAAGTAAAAAAAATAAATCCACTTTATATTATTTGCTTGTATTTTCCAATTGTCGTTTAGAACTGCAGCTGATCAGTCTCATGTTGATATAGGTGCATCATATGTGGACTGCTTCGATAT